TGCAGGCGGGGTGGTGCACTCTGCAGTCCCAGGTGCTGCGGCTGTGGTGAAACAAGAGCAGTGGTCAGTTCTCCCTGGGGACACAGTGGGTGAAACCCAGCCCCCCTCTGCAAGGTGAGGTTGGCGTGTGGGAAACGGACCAGGGCCCCTGCATGACACCCAGCTGCTGCTCCATGGTGGGCAAGGCTCAGGCACATGGTCCCTAGGCTCCTTCTCCCCCCACCCTCACCCCCAATACGCATAAGGGGAGCATGATGGCACTCACATGTGGAGCCCTCCCTGGCCTCAGACGACACAGCCGATGTGCTCTATGGGATGTCTCGGGGGTCCCAGGTAGGCACCTCGCAGGCTCCTGACTCTCGGCATCCTCTTCCTCCTTCTCCGTGTCTGGGACGGGGCCCTCTGCGTGAGCCCCCAGGATGCAGTCCAGGGCCTCATAATGAGGGCATGACTCCGGGTCGGCCCCTGGCTGGGAGGCCCTGGAGAAGGCCTGCTGCAGGTCCTTGATTTTCCAGCAGACCTGCTCCTGGGTCCCCATGTGGCCTCTGGTGGCCAAACTGGCAGCCATGCGGCTGTAGACGGCCGCGTTCCTGTGGCTAGTGCGGAGATCGTGGACGTTGGAGGCCTCTACCCAAAGTCGATGAGGTCCACAATCTCTGCACTAGACCAGGCGGGTACCCGCCTTTTGCGGCCCCTGGCAGGCTCCTGGGAGCCGCCAGCCTGGTCCTGGGAAGAGGCAGAGGGCTGGGTGGCAGCGGGTGGCTGGCTCATCCCATGCCAGGTGCAGGGTCTGCTGGCTGGGTGCTGGCAGGCTTACAACTGGTACAAACACTGTAGCCAGCCCATGTCCCTTTAAGGGCTCCGGGGCCAGGACAGGGGCAGAAGAGTTTTCCTGGTTTGGCTCAGAGTGGCCACCAGGGCAAGCTGGGAAGGGCTAGCCTCCCACTAGTTCGAATTAAGTGGCTACACAGCCCTTAATTCAAACTAGGTGTTTCTCCTAATAGAATGAGGTTTACCTAGTTCAAATTAAGCACTCCACTATTTCAAATTAAATTCTAAATAGCGGTTTGCATGTGTAGCCCATATGAAAGTTAATTTGAACTAATAGCTGTTAGTTCGAATTAACTTTGTAGTGTAGACATATCCCAAGTCTGTCTGTCTAACTCCACATCCCATAGATTGTCCATTCCCTTGTATTCAAGTAATTATGACCTTTTTTTAAAAAAATGAGCGAAACAGTATAAATTTTGCTAAACTCATTCTTTGAAATGGCTAAATCATTTTTGCTGAAACATTGAAAAAAATCTGCTTGAGGCTGACACCACACCAGACTTTTGCTAATGGAGGTGAAAAGTCTCTACTAGGAACTAAAAACATGGTCTTAAAATTGGAAAGGGATAGCAAGCCTCAACTACAGGTACGGATGTCAGTGTCCCTTTAATCTTTTCTGTCCATGTGCAAAATAAATTTTTATGTGCACCAAGGCATGTGTGACTATGTACCACCAGTACAAACAAAAAACCTAGTGGGCACTCTGTTAATCAGCTGGGAGGTATCTAAATCTCTCCTGATTGGCCACACAAGCATACAATTTACATAGAACACTGCTATCAATTCCACCTATAATTTAAATGTTTTGTTTATTCATTAAAACAAAACCTCAATTTGCAATCGTCTGATTAACACTCAATATCACAAGATCACGAGCCTTTAATTCCATTGCTTAAAAAGTGTAGTAATATTGTACACTGTTTGCATTAGTAAAAGGAATGATTTGAGAGGCACAGGAATTTGACACCTGTAAAGATTACTAGAGCCATCAACACTGATTTTACATTAACTTAAACATATATTGGCATTAGTTCTCATTTACCAAACTAGTTAGTTTTGGGGTCTGCAATTTTAAGATCCTCTGAAAATTACAATAGCTAAAAACAAACGTAAAAACATAAAAGCTTGATTTTTTTATTGCACTTGTTTAGTTCACAACATGCATTTTTCTAGAATTAGACATTTTAATAATGTTCCCTCCATCACTACTTTCTGTGAAATTGATCTGTTATTCATCAGCTTGTCAAAAACAAAGTATATAGTTTGCAACCATAAAAAGTTAGAAGTATTATTCACTATACATGTTGACAACCCAGTTTTCTAATAAATACTCAACCTCAGTCCTATGAAGCTCAAGAGGGAATGACTGTAGACTATATTTGATTTTACAGAGATAAGTGAAACCAATTTTACAGTTTTAGAACCATTCATGTCAAGTTGAAAGTTATACAGCTTTGATCTGTAGGTACAGTAATAAGTCTTGAAAACGTATTTCTGTATATTTATTGCTACACTGTATTGATGCCAGTCTGCTTCAATGTTATGCAAAGTTAACCTGAAAACAAGATTAACGATGCGATGTCGTATAGCTTTGACATAAAATGCATTAGGCTTATAGAAGACTGTAGACTGCCTTAGAGTTTCTTCCACAATAATTACTCTTTTTCCCACTTCTCACTGCATGTCTCTGAAGCCTGACCTCTTTCTTTCCCCAAACTAAAATGCTCCTACAGGTTCAATCTCTCTGGTTCAGGACTCTCTGGTCCAGCAATATCCATGGTCCCATAGGACCACAGATGTTACTTGTCCAGAAGCCCCTGGACCAATGATCCCCTGGAGCTGTCCACAGAGTGAGTCTGGCAGCCCCGGGGGCTAGCTCAACAGCACAGCCTGGCAGCCGCCAGAGACCAGAAGCACAGCCCAGCCAGCCTGAGAGGAACAGCCAAGGGCTGGGAACACAGCCTGGAAGTTGCTGGGCGTTGAAAGCCAGAAACACAGCCTGGCTGCTGTGGGAACGTGAGCACAACCCATCTGGCAGCCCCAGGGAACTGGGAGCAGGGCTGGCTTGCAGAAGGCACCTCTTGGAGACCCCTGACCTCCTCTGGCCTGGCAAACTCCCTTGTCCAGGACCTGTCAGGTTCCAGGGATGCTGTATAATGCTGTGATCATCTCCCTTGTTTATTACTATATTAATTTCCTCCCAGTTTCCATACTTCGATCAACTGAATCAAAAACAGTATTTCTTACAGCTGTTGCTCAGTTCACATTATTCCTTGCTTCAAATACCTTCACTAAATTGCTCTTGCATTATCTAGTTTAAGCTTCATATTTTTATGGACTTAATCTTTGCTCTCACTACCCACAACTGGTCTTGGACAACCTTTCCCCTGCCACTATAGCCCCCCCTCTTTACCTTGCCCCTCATTCTTGAGTTATTTTATGTTGTCCCACTTGCATAAAATGTTGTTCCTAAACAAATTATTCATTTATCTCAATTTCCTCAAAATTGCCTCCAGCAAAATCAAAAAATACTAGCCCCCCATCAATAAAACTGAGGTCCTCTAGCCACAAAAAGTGAAGGATGTGGAGGAACATAGTGCATTTTTTTGTCTGTTCAAACCGCAAGTTCCACATATCTTTCACTTCTACAGTTAAATAAATGTTTTGCTTCAGAGAAACAAATATATGTAAGAGCTCCCATTTGGTTTTCAGATTGGATATAAACATTTTTTCACATTTTCTAAGAGCTATTCTTGGAAAAGGGAATGGCAGGGTACACAAGTTATTGGGTGCTGCCTGTGGGATGTCTCCCCAACTTGGCACATCCCATCTGAAGGTGGTCTACTTTAGATGGGACAAAAATGAGTTTACAACTCCAAGAATTGCCTAAACAGGTCACTCAAAAGGACGGAAGCAGGAACACAACAATCAGTGTGGAACAGGCAAAATAAAAATGGCTGTTTCTTTCAGATGTCAATTCTAGGTAATGCTAGAAGGAAAGATTTTTCTCTGTCTTCACCAGGAAACCCAGCCTCCTGATAAGCTCAACTAGCCCTTCCTTTTGGTTGAACCAGCAAAGGACTAGTTTATGTTACGTAACTTAAGAATCCATGTGGCCTTCTTGAGATAAATATCAGTTTATAACTTTAATATGATGGTAAACCATCTTACCAAGATACTCCACTGGCTCAGGTGAGCCCTTACCAAATGGAGAATACCTTCTGCGCTCCGTTCAGCAGTGAGCCAGACAGTTGGGTTACCCCTGTTAACTCACTTTAGCATCTTATTCTTAAACATTAGTCAATTGTTAGAGACAGGAACACTTAGCCTACCAAAGCAGCTGGGGAATACTGTATTACAAGTCTTATGCAACAAGACTATACAATGGAGATAGGCTGAATTTAAAACCCCCAATTATCATTTCGCAGTATATGAACAAGGACTGGAACATTCCAGGTGGAAGGAGAGATGTTGCCTATGAATTGACTGTTTCAATTGTAGTTGTTGGTGAACATTATATTCTTCTTCATTACACTTCCATACATTCCCTAAAATTAGTTATCAGTAATAAACCTTGGGATAAGCCAAGTTATAATCCAAAAAGAAAGGGTGAAGGACTACTTTATCAACTTTGAATTCTTACCTGTATAGCAGTTCACCTTAAACTGTCATTTGAAAAGTGTTACTACTTATGCTAAACTATCTAGTTCCACATTATATTTAGCTGAGGCACTCTGTGTTTGTTTCCCAGAGCTGAAGAAAAGAGTATGTAAGATCAAAAGCTTTCTTTCACAAGCAAAGGTTGATTCAATAACAGATATTACCTCACCTCTTTGCCTAATATTCTGGAACCAACACAACTACAACAACGCTGCCATATGCCTATGTGGCATTCTGATGTAGCCAAAGTGACTGCTCTTTGGATATAAAAATTGCTTCACATTTTGCCCCTTAGATTTTTTCCAGATATGAGAACTCTAACAGTCTACTTAAAAATTATAGAACCTTAAAAAAAGTGTACAGATAGCTTTAAAACCAGAACCAAGGTAACAGCTTGTGTATATTAATCAAACTGCATTGAAGTATTTTCTTATTTAGAAGGTTTTTTTATAAAATAATAATTACGAAAATTAAATGCTGCAATATGCCCTAGGAAAAAGAGGCATTACCTGACAGGGTTACTGGTCAAAGACACCCGTAGGGATTCTAAGCAAGTGACAAGTCTTTCATCAGTTGTTCCAGATTTTAGTTCCAGCATGAATTCGTGCGGTGTAATCTGTCGTCTGCTCTTGAGGCTTCCCTGCAAGAACAAAGTCACGTTAAATGGATCGCCTCTCTTTTATGCTTAAAACAGCTTATTGTTGGTATTCACAGATTGGGCTAATCCTGATCCTGTTAAAAAACTGTTGGTTTTTTTTTTTTTTACCATTAAGTGGTTTTGATTCTTTGTCATTGCCTCTCATAGTTTCACATTCAAAATGTTAATATTTTGCATTTTGTCAGTGTAGAATTTCATCTGCCAGTTGCTCTACTTCACACAGCAAAACATAATTCATATATAAGATGAAATCTAAGATGTGAAAATGAAATAAATGGTTGCTGATTTTAGAAAAGTCTTTGCACTGAACACAGTGCAGGTTCATGTTTTTAATGTTTTTGTGACAATCATACCTGGATTGAACATTTTTGGCTGTTTTACTTTAGTTACCCAAGAGATGAATGACAAAAATTAATTGACAATGCTCTGTACCAGCAACTTTCAAATGCAATTAGACATTTTGTTCCTGGACAATACCTTTTGTCTTTCACCTGACAACTTGAATCTACCTATTTGGTTAATAACTTGAAGAGCTGAAATCTTATTTTGGCATCGTGGCTCTGAAATGCAGTAATGGCTGCATACAGGAGTGGTCTGAAGCGAGCTGCGGCAGCTGGCGCCCCAGGCAGAATGCACAATCAGCGCCCCCGCCTGCCCGGCCGTCAATGGAGCGACATCATCATTGGGTGCCCCGTGACGTCATCATTGGGCACCCCGTTGAAGGCAGCGCCATAGGCAACGGCCGCACCATAGGCAACGGCCGCATCAGCCTATAGTTACGGGCCGCCCCGGCTGCATATGTACTCTGTTGGCCAGTGTGTTAGACGTCTAACCCTCTGTACTTAGTTCACAGAAAATGAGTCTTACACTTAGCTCAAGCTGTAGAGTTGTACATTTAGTTTTGGAGGTACCTACTTCAACCAATGTGGTGATAGGCAAGATGGTGCTCAGCAAATGTAGGTTACAAGTACTTTCTTTTTTGATGGGTACATTTATCGCAGAAATAAAAAGTAATTTTGGTAACCAGATCAGGAGCCACTCCATTCTTCATTGTAATACATGGTGCAAAAGTAGTACCACTTTGATACTTTTATTGCATGTTTCCTGAACAGGCATGGCTTGGGAAATCCTCATAGGCTTTTTCTCTTAAATGTCTGTCCACTTCATTGTTAAATCTTGGTTGCACACCAGGAGCATTCGGACCAGCGACTGTTAACACGATGTTTCCAGAAAGCTCTTTTGTAAATGTATTCCCCACCCTTTTTCTTCTATTGTTAGAGTAATATTTGTTTGTATATTGACCCACAGTCTATTGTGCCAAATTAAAGTCATCTTGGCTTTAATTATTATGAATATAAACTACATTAACATGTAGAAACCCAAATCATGGATCATGCTCCCCATGTGCTCATAACTATATAAACACAACAAAAAGATGGTCCCTGTCTCAAAGGGCTAATCATTTTTTTCATGTTTTTGTATTAATGTTACAATAGGAATTAATATGGCATTACTCTACAAGTTGTGATGCAAGAACCTCTTAATGTTAGCTGGCAAGGGGTGCAGCAAACAATGTATTGAGTTATGACATTAGCTCCTCTGCAGTGCCACTGACAGATCAATCACGTTACCATGTTGCAAATTATCATAATTACTTTTGCTTTCCTCTGACCACCTTAAAATGCCCTGTAGAAAATAAACACATAATCCTTTTATGACAGATCTCCCATTGCAAACATCTCTGACCTCAGACATGCCGAAGTCCCTACATCGAACACGTCTGGCACAGCTCAATTCTAAAGTTAAATTTCATTATATGAACCTTAAGATGGCAAATTTAAAAATTATATGCAATTGTTTTCACAGAATACAATACAATAGTAGTCTGAAGAACTCATGGCCTCAGTATAAATAAGATCAGTAACTAATTACAGGTTGGACCTCCCTGGTCTGGCACTATTGGGACCTGACTGATCCCAGATGAGAGATTTTGCCGGACCAGGGGAAGTGAGCCCTAGACCTGCTGTAGGCCCTACTCACACTCTGCTGGTCCCCACCCTCCTTGCCTATCACATCAGATGGCCCTGCTGCAGCCCACCAGGCAGCCGCGCCAGGCAACTCACGGCTAGCAGGCTGCAGGGCTCCTAGGAAGGAGCTCTCCACTGTGGCTGTCAGGTCCTGCAACATCCATGATCCCAAGGATGTTGCCGGACAAGGGAGTACCAATTTACAGTGGTTCAACCTATAGGATTAAAATAAATTTGGACAGTTTTGTGTCTATATGACCACTATCAGACACAGAATACTGGGTAACATGTGTCGTGATCCAATCCCGTATGCACCTTTAATGTCCCCAAATACACAAACGGAAATCAATTTCAGCCATACAAAATACAGCATTAGAGTAAAGTGTAAAGGATATAGGATCAACCACATATATAGATAACTTCCAGTGTTACCTAAAGATGTTAAAAAAAGGACCCAGAAGAGATTTAAAGACGGATATTAGTCAAAAAAATTAATACTCAGTTACACATTATCATCCGTCCAAATATACATGTAAAAGTAGTAACCACACTCCCCTTTCCATACACATATTTTTGGTGTATTCTAGAACTGACATATACTTACAGTTTTCGAAGCAGTACTAATATATTGCATCACCATTTCTTTTTTGGTATTCAAGTCCTTTTCTCGCAATGGTGTTTTTTTGTCTTCATTTAAATTCATATCTTCCTACAGGAAAAAAATGAAATAATTTGTTTTAGCCATGTACATGTCTGATAATAAGGATCTTAATGAAGGCCTACACACTGCGGTAGAGGTATAGGTATGTTAAGTGTAAAACTTGGGGGGGAGGGGAGGAGAGAAGAGAACCTATATAAAAAACAGAAATACTGTTGTACCAAATAAAAGCAAGCAGGATCTTATGAGGGGGATAAGGCAAAAAGCCACATTTATTGTAAAGATAATAATAAAAAAATAAAGAAAAGATAGAAGCAAACAACGTTGTTTAACTACTTAGTATAGGTATGTTAAGTGTAAAACTTGGGGGGGAGGGGAGGAGAGAAGAGAACCTATATAAAAAACAGAAATACTGTTGTACCAAATAAAAGCAAGCAGGATCTTATGAGGGGGATAAGGCAAAAAGCCACATTTATTGTAAAGATAATAATAAAAAAATAAAGAAAAGATAGAAGCAAACAACGTTGTTTAACTACTTATTCCTATCACTACTTAACCCTTATACACTTTTTTATATATATATATTTATATATATATATATATATATATATGTAGAGACCCACCACAATTTCCTCCACCACAAGGAGTGCAAAATATAGCACACTCCCAAATGCAATCTCCAGTGTTGAAAATGTGAGGGGGCCTGGTAAACCAGGAATTGGAGAGTAGAGAGTCAGGAAGAGAAAGGAGTGAGCAACAAATGCAAAATGCAGAATAGCAGTGTAAAAAGGAGTGATTTAAGAAAACAAAAATGAAATAAAGTGCTGAGGAGAGAAACAAATGAGGAGGGGAGAAGAAGAAAGACACCAAGAATAAAACATGACAGAAGTATATGAAAACCAAACTCAGCAAAGTTCTTCTCTTGGAGCTACATGGTAGAACAACTGATTTTCCTGCCACCTGGAAATCTAGAGTGAGTGAGAGAGCGAGAGAGAGATAAGGATGGGAATATCCATTTATATCTCAGCAGAGGTGTGGGTGGAAGCCAACATATGCTTAATGTTTCCCATACAATGTTTTTGTATAATAATAACTTTACATATATCAGAGTTGTAGTTACAAAAAGTTTCTGGGTGGTATTGCTTAAAACATTCTCTGAGTGCTGAGTAAAGTTACAATGTTTTAAAGAGAATAGGCGTCAATTATGTGACAATGCATTGTTACAATGTATCTCTGCAATGTCAATTTCAAGCAGCCCCTTGCACAAGCTTGAGCATGCCCTGGGGCACAGGAGGGGGGGCTGTTTCTGGCTACATAGGATTATATTCTTAACAGTTCTAAGTTACATGACCTAATACATTATATTCTAAAGGGGCAATAATAATAATAAATCTAAACATTTAACAATCTAAACTAATAATAATAAGAAGAAGAATTAATAAATCTAAACACTTTAAGTTGTGGGGAACAAATTATGGGGAGTCACTTCCATTTGGGGGAATCATTTTCAATACATTAAAATGTTATCCCTACAATACCAACAATGAAAAAACTAAAGAACCAAATGCAAAACATCCACTTAAGCAATTTATAACCTTGCAATCGGCAAAAAGGACAGAGCAATATATAAAGTCAAGTTACAAGTTCAAAAAAAAGTTCTTTAATTTTACAGAATGTGTATCATAATTTTACCCTCCCTATTTTACAATTCCAGCATCAGCACAGTCAGTCAATAACTGCAAGCAAGACTAGCAGTGTAGTTCCATTTTAACCTCCTCCTAAGAATCATATGCAAAATGAAGACATAGTGGGTGGGAGACCCCGTATAACAGTCACCTTCTCCTCCTCAATCATCACAAAACCATATTGCAGTCTTGATTCTTGGTATGTATCGATCATTTTGGGAAATGTAAGCAAAAAGTTACTTTACATCTTTCGTAGAGCAAGTGTCACTGCATTCTGTTATATCTGTAATTAAACACCTAAATTGTGAACTTTTCTTTCTTCAGCCCAGTGATCACACAGCAGCATTTTCCCCCTATATCTGTGCACATCATTTCAGCCTCTTTTAGGATGCAGATCTTGCTACTAACCACCATGCCAGTAACCCTGAGATTAGATTACTGCACTACATCCAGCTACATTTTTGAAAACTTAATCCTTTTGAAAACTGAAGCCGGTATATAACTTACTAAAACAGTGTTTCCTGCCATGAGCTTATTATGCTATTGCTCTGGAATCTGTACTATGATTTTTCTGCATGCCCCCAGGACACAGCTAGGACTAGGACACTCCCAGGCGCCTCTCTTGAGTAGCTGGGATCAGAATCCTGCTGGACCGCCTCCATACAGGCAGGGCCCTGCTGGCCAACACACGTATGGCCCTGCCTGCCACCCAGACATAACAGACAAGATACAGCTAGGACTACTCCAGCCTGTTGTGATTGGCTGTGAAACCAGTTACCAGATAAGACCGTTTTAAACAACATAGTATACATCTGCCTTTAGTGTTAGCTGTAATAAGGAGAAGATCTCAATAGAGTAGCTCAATTACGCCTTTTCAATTGATGTTCGGGCCACCAATGCTTCTTATGCGGTCACAGTCAGACCCTCCCAATTCTGACCCCACCAGTCCAGAGCTAATTCAATGGCATAAACTTTTACAGGAGGAACTTCCCCAGGCTGTTCAACTTATACAGCAGACAATGGAACAGGCTCGGAAAAAAAAAAATGGACAAGCAGTGGCAGAAACTGAAATGGATGTATCTGAACTGGAACACTAAGCCTCTTCAAGTAAATTGGGAGGAGCCATTTACCATTTGTAATAAGGGGAGTGACACAGTATTCCAAATTGATCCAGGCCCCCACAGGAAGTAGGTCCACCGAAGACAGCTTAAGCATGTAGGAGGAACCATCCCTGTCCTTGCTCCTCCTTACAATAACCCAGTGCCTATCATGCTTAAGGTTTTTTGCAGGTTTTTGTTTTACAGAACATCAGGTACCAGCTGAAGAGCAACAGAAACACCATGGTTCTAGTGTCCTGACAAAGACTGTGTTCAGTGTAAGCATGTAATAGTATAGTTGATTAACCGATAAGCAAAAGCTTATAGGTTAATGCTATAGACTACATGCATTTCCCTCTCCCCATCACTTGCCAGAAATTTTTTTTTTTTTTTTTTTTACCAGGATGGCCAGAAGCCCAGCTTGCACTGGGTCCTGGACCTACCCCTGCTGCTGTTCTGCATTTAAAGTGTATTAGGAGTCAAGGACTATAGGTAGCCTAGCTCAGTTCTGGCTCATGCTAGGCCTGGGAGCTCAGACCCCTCCCCCCAAGATAGGGGCTGCCCAAAGACTATAGAATAGTCAACTAACCAATAAGAATGTGTTGTTAATCAACTATTAAATTAACCGATATTTAACATCCCTAGTTCAGTGTTCGTCTTGTCACGGGTGCCCCTATGCTAGCATTGTTGTGTACTGTATTTGGGGGAAAAGAGGGGATACTACACTAGGCAGGGAAAACTTTTTTTCCCCTCTCCTTATCTCTCCCATCTCCCACCAAATTATCAATCATACATCCACCTCGGTCCAAAAAGCCTTTGGTCCCCAAAGCATCAGGTTTATTGTTAGTTCCTCTAGTTATCATTGTTACCTGCTGTTATTGATATACATTTGTATTGTTAGTTACATTTTTTTATTGTTAATTTATCTCATTGTCCTCTGATTACAATAAACAAAATACCTGTCATATCAAGATATGAAACAGGAGATCTGTATGGGAAATCCAGAAATTGTCATGGCAATTGGAATGATGGTGTGGATGGGTGGAGGTAAAACATCCACCTTGGAGTGGTCACTGTAATTTGGGTAGCCAAGGGGGGATAATGTTGCATGAAGCCTCTGCCAGAGCTATTACTTGATTTACACACAAATTTTCTAGAAATGCATTAAACTCTAAGGTCCTGCCAACACATGACAGAGAATGACAAAACCTGCTGCTGACTGCACTACTGTGAACATTGTTTAAGGGGGACAGTTGTCTTCCAAGTCACTTTATTACTGATGATTAAGATAGAAATTCTTCTCAATCAGATGCTGTGTGCTGGAAGGTATCTCTGTAACAACCATTGAGCTTTGAAACTTTGTACTTGTCTCTCTGTAACTTTCAGCTACCTTGCCTTTTAAATTCTGCACTTTGTTGTAAGATTATTGAGCTTTGTAACTCTCAGCCACTTTGCTTGTAACTTGTTCTAAGCTGCATGCCACCCTGTGATAAAACAATGTGTGTGAATGGAGGGTGTTTGGGGTGAGGGAAACAGCAAGGCTAAATATGTGAAGCCAGCAGCTGACAAATTAAGACACAATGCTGCCCTAAGCAAACAAAGGACCCGGACTGAGGGAGGTCTGGGCATGCTCCTCCCAGACCAACGTGGAGGTAGGACCCCTGCACAAGTGACAGGAGCAATTCAGTTCTTATAAAAGGAGAGACCACTTGGCAGAAGCCCTCTTTCTGATCAGTGTGCCTGCCAGGATCCATGGCTAGAGGCAAACCTGTGGAGTCAACATGCCTTGGCTTGCCTCTACAACCTTTTGCCTGTGTAAGTGTATGAGTGCCTGAGGATATGAATGACTGTGCCTGTGAATGGACTAATGAATGTGTAGGTGAGATAGCTCATACCCCTTCAGTTTAATTCCATAGTGGCAGTCAATGAAAGGTCAATTCCCTGGCGTTTAATTCCTAACTTAATAAATCTATGAGTGTAACCCTGGGATGGTCTGCAGTGAAACTGGGGTAACAGTATCAGAAACCATCAAACAGGTGTTGGTATTTTTTTTGTTCTGTGTTGTTTGCCTTAATACCATTTTCTGTGCATGTTACATAAGATGAGAAATTATTCTATGCTGTAACAGGGATTGAGTGATCTAAGAGCCTTCTATAAAGAACATTTTTCCACCATGTACATGATTACATTTACCTTTCTTGAAATTCACTATGCTTGCAATTCCTTGATAATTAAACAGATTTTCATTTTATATCACAAGACAGATTTAAGCTACATATTGAACATTCTAACACCTTGCTCCATATTTGCTCCCCTGGAATTGCACTAGTCTTTGGAAGCACATTGAAAAAATAAAATAAAATAAAGGTGGAGAGAAGAAAACTTTCTCCTGAGGATACTTTAGATGACATCCAGCCATTGTTAGAAAAATATAATTCTATAATTTTATTCTGATCAAAAGCCCCATCCTCTTGATATCCCAAATACAGCTGACCCATAAAATGATCTTAGCAAGTATAACTGTTTCTTTGCTAAAATACCTTATCGTGGCCTGCTACCTACTCTCAAAGACAAAGCCCCTAAGAATTTCGTGCACTAAGAAATTCTTTATCAGTGGCAACTCTTATTAAGCAAAGCCTCAGGTTCCACTGAGAAGTTACACACACAGAGAAAGAAGCCAATATGGCAATCTCAACATCTGTCCCCTTAGTGACATTGCCTCTCAGAAGAAATCATGACACCAGTGAAATGGGACCACTCATGCCATTCTTCTGTTAGGCATCCTTTAGTGGCGGATTAAAATAGCTTCTATTTCTTGAACCACGGAATGCTGTTTTGGGAACAAAGAGTGCTAACCAGAAATAAGCTCCACCTATCAAGGAAGTAGAAGAGTATCTCTGTATAAGACTGGCTAATTTAAAAGAGGGCTTTAAATGGAGACACAACAAGGACAGGAAACAAAAAGCCCACAGACAAGTCAAAAACATGGCAACCAGGACAAGGGTTAGAATTTGGAGGGAACATGAACAATTTTAGCAGGTAAAAGGGGTAAAATCAAATGAGCATCTCAGAAGTCTGTATTGAAATGCATCAAGTATGGGGAATAAACAACAAGAACTAGAAATGACATATCTGGCATCACAGAGATTTAGTGGGATAACCAATTATTGCAACATTGGACCAGGATATTGCAACCAATATCCTATGATGACCTTTGCTAGAACTTCTTGTCTCTTTATGGTTCACAGTGCCTGTGCTGACAGAAGTAACAGGAAGGAAGCATCTGTATGAATGAAGTTTGAGGTCTGTTTTGTTTTCTCCTTATTACCTGTGGCAGATCAAAAAGCACCTAACAAATTTTATCCAGTGCTGATCTGAACCTGTATTGAAGTTAAACAGGTCACTGCCTTCAAATGAGAGGCTTGCAGTTGTGGTATGTACTTCTTCCGGTGTCCTTGAAGATTGTGACCAACAACCCCTGTGCATGACAACAGCTGAGGCCTAGTGCCTTCTGTGATGACTGAAGCACTTAACACCTGCAAAGAAGTACAAGCCACCAACTGGAACCTCAGTTTTAACCTGTTGTTCTGAGAAAACTTTTCCATACAACTTGATACATAACCCCAATTTAAATAACTATATTTAGCCTAGTAAATGGGCTTTGTAAATAGCAGTACACATTTGGAAGTTTGCTGAAGAATATTTTTTTCTCCTGACAGACGCACAGTCCTTTCTGTTCCTACATGTTCATTTTGGTGACCCCTGAAGTCTAGATCAAACAGCAGCTACCACCACAGTTCTGGGACAGGACTCACTTTGAAATGCTGAAAGCCAGATCAAAGTACTGTTTGTTTGTACCTACTTTATAAGTGACCCAGACTGCACTACAGACTTCATTCTTTAATACTCTCCAAAGCTTTGTGTCATCTGCAAAGTTATGATTTTGTCTTTTCTTCCAGGTCACTGATAAGAGAGCATCAGGCAGAGAGCCAATAAACACAGTGTAATGAGGATTCCCTGTTTACAATTATATCTTGATACATATTCTTCATTCAATTGGGGACAAAAGAGAGACACTTTCATTCATAGATAATGAGCTTCAAGTGAATAGACATTAGTCATGATGTAATTCTGTAAATGAAAAACATCTAAAATTCAACACAGAGAGGGATGTTTACAATCAATAGTGAGATGGAATTCTTACCATCATTTTTTCAAAAAGTGCTAGGATTTCTCGTTCTGACAAGGGTTTGAAAATAGACTCATCTACATCTACAGGAGGTGATGACCAATCAATAGACGAATGTGATTGTTTCAGCTGTAATACCGGAGGTCTTTCTTTTCTACTGCTTGGAATCCTTATGCTGGCAAATCTATCCAACTGCAAGGGAAAAAAAGTTAACAGAGATTACCAACTGTCATTGATATTATATTCAACCACAATAAATAATGTTTACACTTTTTTTAAACAGTTAACCATCTCCTGTTCGTCCAACTGTTTAATTTTAAACATTTTTATGAGAAGAGACCTAGACCACTCATCTTTAGATGTTAAAAAAGTCAGCTGCTCCGTTACAATGCATATTTTATTATACAGATTACAGAAAATAGATACACAAAGGATGGTAATGTAAAGTATAGAGCTGGCCTCTCTCCTCTGTATTAAATAGGAGGTAGTTTTACACTCCCCAAACTACTTTTTTCAAGCTCCATTTTTTTTTAATAGAAGTAGGATAAACTCCTTGTTGAAAAAAAAAGTTGTTTCTCCATGATTAACTTTGGCTTTACCTAATTACTTGTGGAATTTCTTTTACAGCAGCTTTAGGGTTACATGATGGAAAAGCTAAGGGCAATTCTAATCTAGTTACTATTACCAACAGCCACATTAAATATCTTTCAATGGATTGTTATTTTATCTACTACAGAAATCAGCTGCAACCAGTCCCTCTTATAAAAGAGCAAAAATAAATCTTCATCACCCAATTTTGTTTATACCATATTTATGCAGAATGCAGCGTCTTTTCCCTTAAACATCTATTTGCTTGCAGACTTGACACCAGGAATAATAAAATGCAGCCCAATATTCAGTTATATGAAATTCATGAATATAGGTTAAAAAAACCTCTCATTTTAACTTTTAAACATACTCTCTGCCAATATCATAAAGACTTTAGAAGAGCCATTAGTAAGTGAATTAATTTAACGTATAAAAATAAAGAGAGAACTAAAAGAGTTAATATTAACTTAACTGCAAAAACTTATTGAAAAATCTTTTTTCGAGATTCTTCTCTGCTTCTTAAGGAAATTACAATTCATGGCAGACATAATATTGGTGTTATAGTTGCTGACTTCTTTATTCAATATTGAAACATTGATTTTTTTAAACAATGTAATCCTGTTAGGCTATTCTATTGTATTAAATGTTGCCATTCTAATTAGGGATGTTAAGAGGCACGTAAATGATTAATCATGTAGTCAATGCAATTTCTATCAACTACACAATTAGTCGCTAAGGGAAGGCGGTCTGTCCCATCTCGAGCTGGTTCAGGAGCTACCCCTTCTGTGACTCTGCAGTTTAAATGTAGTAAGAGCCAGGCATGCAGGCAGCCCATGTCTTACTACTTTTAAAATACAGAGTCACAATGGTCCTGTCCTGGCTCATGCCAGGTCCAACAGCTGCTGTTTGCAACAGCCTGTGCCGCCGCAGACAGGGGTTGCTGCCTGAGCAGCTTCCCCTATCCCTCCACCCTCCCGCTGCTGCTACCTCTGATAGAGGAAATAGCACTGGGGCAGGAGGCAGGCAGCAACACAGATATGGTGCTGGGGGAAACGGCCTTCACTAAAACACAAGGAAGTCAATAGTAACACTGAGTAGGTTTCATTTTATTATGAATTGCTTCAAGAGTTTATTTTCATTTCTTCTCCGCCCTCAGCTCTATGACCATATCACATCATACTTCCTTATCAAATACTAGAATCAAACACTGCCCACACCAATTACTTGACTTTAGTCTTCCACCTATTTCCATAACTTCAAAGGCCAAGGAACACTTATCAGTTTTATTGTCTTCCCTACAGGTGGCATTTCCAACACTTCATATTGGACAGCACACAAAGAGTAGAATCAGTATTAACAAACCCATAAAATCAGATGCTGGTGTAAGTCATAGATTTGTCTTGAGCATTCAAGACTTGACACCCTATCAGGAAGAATAAAAAATATAAGCAACTGACATCATCCCTTTGCCCCATCTGCTACTCACCTTCCTTTAGTTCATCTTACTGAATGACTAGTGTTTTTACAATATCTTTACTTTCTTAAGCCTTACTAAACCAAACCAAACCTTCAGCCCACGTTTTGTAGCATGTATACTTCATGAAAGCAAATTAATTAGCTCCAACTATAAAAATACTATGAGCTCTGTAGCTTACAAAAGTATGGTCACTGGCCATGCCGGTACTACAGATAGATCGAAGCAGCTACAGTCGATCTTTCACTTCTCGAATTAATAGGTCTAGCCAAGATTCACTAATTCGAATTGAGATGCAACACCCATTGACACTGGTAGTCCTGCTTCTATGAGAAGTAAGGGAAGTTGAAGGGAGAGTATGCTCCCTTTGACTTCCCACAGCATGGACAGCATCAAAATTTTGAGTTAAGATACTTCGACTTAAGCTACGCAATTAATGTAGCTTAAGTTGTCTATCTTAATTTGAACTTAGTCCCTAGTATAGACCAGGCCATTAAGGTATCAATTAAGAACACATAGAACAACACATGGAATCTTGAAATCTGTACCTGTTTTGTGTTTTCACCATTATGGAAAACAACACCGCTGACTGCCATGGCTCCAGCTATCAGCATGGTATAACAGACTAACAATTATTATAACAGACTGTAGTAATTCACATTTTACATCCAGTATTTTAAACATGTATCCTATCAGATACTACAAATGGGGATGTGACGGGTCCGCGGGGACCCGCACCGGGTCCAGCAAAGCCTCTGCTGCTTTGCAAGCCTCCACCGCTTTGCAGGAGGGCAGGGGAGGCAGCGCAGAGGAAGACAAGCCATGCTGCCAGCAAAACCTGGGCAGCCCATGTACATCAGTGACAAGCAGGGGCGGGCCGAGCTGGGGGAGAAGGCAACATGATGGAAGTGGTGGAACGCGCGGACGCCAGCACAGCAGAGTGTCAGGCCAGCACCTCCAGCGTTGGGCTCATTCAAAAGGTCAGCGGCTAGAGGAACGGGGCAACATTGGAGGACAACGGATTCTGGAGAGGGACGGAGAGACAACCCAAACCGGGGTTGGAACAGAACAGTGGCCGCCACAAGAGGACCGCAGCAACAGTAAGGAAGCTCCAGGGACTCTGGTAGAAACCCCATCAGTGAGCAGCGGGACAAGGACAGCAAGGGGCGGTGGGGGGAAGGAAGCAGCCCGGGGCAAGGCCAAACTGGCTCCTGTGGGCTGACAAGTTTCAGGCAAGCACCCCGTCAGCTGGGTAGGGAGCTATACGTCCCTAAACCTTAGGGCTCTGGGCTGGGACCTGGTGAAGAGGGAGAGCACAGGTCCCCCTTCCTCCCTTTCCCCCGTAACCAAAAGGCGACAGTAATCCTTATGTGGGTGGGGGTCAACCAGCCCTGCGTACGGGACTACTGAATTTGGGACATTTGGGTAACGACTGGCGTACGGGAATTTGGGGGATGTTAAGACGGCAGTTGGCACGGGGCCCTGCCCAGAGGCGTGCGTAGGGACTTCGGACTAAGCTGACCCGCCACAGGGGATGATATACAAAAATATTCTTTTAAAAAAAAAAAAAGACACACACTTTTACTAAGCTAAAAAACTTCATTTAACAAACTATGGCACACATTAGAAAAAAGTAATTTTCAGCTTCAGTGAGTTCCATCTCATGAATTACAGATTTATCCCTTGATGACCTTGAGTACTGTGTATACAGATGTACAGAAACTGAAGGTCATCAGGCGATTCGTGAAGTCATTCTGCCGCTCTACTCTGCACTAGTTAGGCCTCAGCTGGAGTACTGTGTCCAGTTCTGGGCGCCACATTTCAAGAAAGATGTGGAGAAATTGGAAAGGGTACAGAGAAGAGCGACAAGAATGATTAAAGGTTTAGAGAACATGACCTATGAAGCCAGGCTTCATGAACTGGGCTTGTTTAGTTTGGAAAAAAGAAGATGAAGGGGGGACATGATAGCGGTTTTCAAATATCTAAAAGGGTGTCACAAGGAGGAAGGAGAAAATTTGTTCCTCTTGGTTTCTGAGGACAGGACAAGGAGTTATGGGCTTAAAGTGCAGCAAGGGAGGTTTAGATTGGACATTAGGAAAAAAGTCCTAACTGTCAGGGTGGTCAAATATTGGAATAAATTGCCAAGGGAGGTGGTGGAATCTCCCTCTCTGGAGATATTTAAGAACAGGTTAGATAGACATCTGTCAGGGATGGTGTAGATGGAGCTTGGTCCTGTCTTGAGGGCGGGGGGCTGGACTCGATGACCTCTCGAGGTCCCTTCCAGTCCTATGATTAATCTTGGTATATGTGTATATATGCATTACAGAAGAACAATGGTTTCTTGCCTTAACTATAATTTGAAGGGATTTGTCTATATGGATCCCATAGTAGGTGTGTGCACATCTCATAAATGTGATCTCAGATACTTTAGCGGTAGCAATGGCTGGAGTCAGGTGCTGTCGTGTCTACCTCCTGGGGACAAAGTGGTGGTGTCACCCAATTGCCTTGCAGTTCCTTTACAACTGTAAAGGATTCCACATTAGTGGAGAGGAAGGGCAGGATGTGAGATCCACGTGGACAAAACTTCTCTAGCCAGTTACTCTATATTAAGCCATAATTTCTTTGAATATTTGTGCACGTGGATCCCACTTCAAGCAGCAGCTGACAAGTGGAAGCATCAGAAATCTAAATAATGACTAACACTCCACTGCCAAACTGTACATCAGATTCAGGAGCTATGAAGAGATACTGTAAAAATACATCTATCAAATTCCAAGTAGCAGCTCTACAGATATCAAAAGTAGCGACTGATGTGTCTCAGAAAGGCAGAGGAGGCTGCCTGAAGTCTGGTAGACTACCATCTGACTCCCATTTTTAAGATAATCTGTTGGAACAGCTTAAATAGCTTGTGCCGTAAGTTTATCACCAAGCAATATCAACCATATCAATGACTGAGACATTTCCAGGGTGAATCACAGCTATCTTCTTACAAAGTAAGCCTGTGCCCATCTGGGAAAAATTCTCCCTGAACTAGCAACTGCAGACCACAAAAGTACTACCATAAACCACACTCTTCACTGGTGCAGGCTAGCAATTTATGCTCCTCACTTTGAGTGCTCAGTCCCTCGTC